CATCCATGTCACGCCTAGGGTGGAGGTAGCAGGGGCCACCTCTGCTGAGCTCATGCTTATGCACTTCTGAACTCAATCCCACACTGGAGAATTGGGAAACTGAGGCCCATAAACAGGTAAGCACTGGCCCACGGCACATGACAGACAAGAGTCCCAGCAGAAGGAAGTATTCTGATATTCTAGGGCAAGACTCGAACCCTTCCAATAGGCTTTGCGGTGGACAACAGAAACCGTCAGTTCTTGGCAAGCTCTTGCCCATCCCTTCCTCTGTGGAGGCTGTTTCCTCCTGGGCATCCAGGACGTGAGCCGTGACACACACGTACACACAGAGACTTTAGATGGAAGGGCGGACTATGGGGTGGGCTCAGAAGAGAGGCAGACACAGGGGAGGTGAGGAGAGGAAGAAAAAAGCCGTTAGAGGCGTTCCCTACATGGGACACTGCTCCTCCAATTTCACAGGTATTTTCCCACTTGGGCCTGAGGACATCTCCAAGAACTATGGGCTAGGATAATCCCCCCCATGCAGACTGGAGGCAGAAAGGCCCCGCGAGGCACCATGGCTTCTCCAGGATGAGGAACAGGGAAGAAGGAGCACTTGTGTCTGCGTCTGTCTCAAAGCTGGTACCCTGGCTGCACCCAGACCTTCTCGGAGGCCTGTGGAGACAGGTGTTTTGGGGATCCTGGGGACACATATGATACTGCATGGAAAAGGGGGTGAGCAGTGCCCCGCCCAGAGGACTGCTTGCATGGGTAGTATCTGAGGAGGGGCCTCAGATCACCGTGGTTTCCAGGCAATGATGTAACCTTTTTCACAACAATGCCCACAGTGCAGGGGCCTCCTGTAAAGAGGCACCCAGATCCTCACACTCAGCTCACTTGGCTGGAGACAGCTGCTACGGAAAGATGTTTTCCTGCTGTATCCTGCCTTACCACGTCTATGGTCCCCAGACGACCCGGAGCCAAAACCTTTGTACTCGTTTTAAAGGGTGGCTCACCTCTCATACGCCACACCTATGGCCGTTTGCCAGGAGGTCATCAAAGGTAACACGAGGGGGCCTACATCGGGCTATTCAGCTCAGGCCACTTCTGTGAGCCCCCACTGAACGGCCCCCACCCTCTCCCTTCCATGGTGGGGATCCTCACTTGGCCAGAACTGCTGGGTATACAGCTGATCACCTGGTGCTGCTGCCATCTTCACATCCCAGGACAGGGCTGGCACCATGGAAAGGGGATTCCCAAGTTGCCTCTTAACTGGGCCAAGTTTCCTTCAATTCTTTTTCTGATGGGAGTAACCTTCGTTTATAGCATTACGTAGTTTCAGGCGTTCATCATTATATTGCGATTTCTGTGTAGATGACATCGTGTTCACCACATAATGACTAATGACAATCCATCACCACACACATGTTCCTAATCATCCCTTTCACCCTCCTCCCTCCCCACTTCCTCTCTGGAACCCCCAATCCAAAGCCTATCTCCTGTGATTCTTTGCTGCCGTCATCCCTGATTTATGAGAGTTGTCACAAGGCTATTGGACTTTCTCCCTCTGAATTATTTCACTTAGCATAATACCCTCCACGCCCATCCATGCTGTCACAGAAGGCCAGATCTCCTCCTTTCGGATGACTGAGTAGTATTGCACGGTGTATATATGCCACATCTTCCTCATGGGCAACTAGGTTGCTTCCAAGTCTTGGCTATTCTGAAATATGCTGCAAGTTACACAGGCATGCTGACATCTTTACCCATTCGTGTTTTCACATTCTTGAACACATACCCTGTGGTGGAATAGCTGGGTCATACGGTAGTTCCATTCTTAATTTTCAGAGGAATCTCCATCCTGTTTTTCATACTGGCTGCATGGCTATGCACTCCAACCAGCAGCGTAGGCAGGGTCCCGAGTCTCAACAATGTCTGCAACACATGTTTTGTCCTGTCTTGTTCATTAGAGCCATTCTGATGACTGTGACGTGAGATCTCGTGGTAGTTTTGATTTCAACTTCCCTAAGAAGTGGTGAGATTGAACATCTTTTCATGCGCCTGTTGGCCATCTGTCTATGTGGGTCTGGAGTGGAGAGAGTCACCGAGGTGTGAGTGCCCCCGAAGTCAGTCAGCCAGTGCTCTGAGGCTTCCTGCCTGGCTGCCGGGCACTGTCTTTACAGGTCTTTCCTCAGGAGTTTGGAAAGGACAAGACAGATCAGTCCTTCCTCTCCCTGACTATACAGGAAGGGATGATGCGGCACCCGGCCGACACAAGCCAGCGCTGGGCCTGGGTGAGTGCAGGTGCTCAGGACACCCAGCACCCAGGGCCCCAGGACTCCAAAGACAACCATAGGTCCTACAAGGCCCTGGTACCACTCCTGCTCCAGAAGGAATCTGTCTCCCCATCTCTGCCCCCAACCTGCCCGCACTGCCCAGCTCCTGTCTTGGCCACATTTAAAGTCACTGTCACCGTAACTCTACGAATCCCAGCAAAGAGACTTTTCTCCCATTTCATCTCATGTTTGGTCAAGGGGATCGTTGCATCTTTCTACACATTTTACTCTTTCACCCCATCCCCAAGTGTCCATGATGACCTCACAATCCTTCCACACTTTCTCCATGTCTCACACAGCCTCATGATGGACAAGGATGCTTTTCCCCAAAAGGATGTGGGGCTCATTGGGACATGTGTGTTGCTCTGTCTTTTGCCCTCCTGAGGAACACCTGCCCATGGCCCCTCCAGGTCAGGGGCCGGGGCCTCACTGAGATGCACCACATTTTGGATGGCAGACCGTGGACGAGACTGATTCAGCCCTTCACTGCTGTGGGACCTCCTGTTGTCCTTTCATCAGTGCTGCACTGAACGTCCTGCCTGTCCTCCTGTCCCAATGCATCCCACCGCAGGGAAAGCCCCCGTCTTCTCCTCTCTGCAATGGGCTCTTTTGTCAGAAACCCCAGGGCTGATGCTCTTAACACGCACAGGTGCTGTCAATTCTCCGGTAACACCTTGATCTGCTACTGATACTGATACTAACACGTTCGTTCATTCCCCTGTCCGATTCTACCCGCAAGACCAGAAGTTTTTCCTACTCTGGGCACTCCTGTCCCACCTCTTGCTAGAAGTCACCGGGAGCTTGATGCATTGCTCTGACGGCCAGCCCCAAACCTCCTGGTGCCCACGATGCTGCCTCTGATGCTGAGCCTCTCCTCTGTACCACCCCAGGCTCTCGACACATCCACAGTGGACAAGAGATCGTTTCCCCGGCTGTGGACGGTTCACAACACTCCTCTAGAGCGTCTGGTGGCTCACCTTGTGCCCGCCTTCCTGCTGTGTGACACCACTTTTATCCACAGCTTCCTTTCGACATACACAGATGTGGCCACCACACAAGAGGTCCTAGATGAGTTCTTTAATAGGTGAGTGCCCTGCCCCTCCCCAGGACTCTGCGGCTCCAGCTACCTGCATGCTGGGAGTCTTGGGGAGGTCCGCGTACCTCTCTGAGCCTCAGTTTGCTCCTCTGAATAATGGGGAGAACAGAGGAACAACCACCTAGTGCTATTGTAGGGACTCAATGAGCTCCTGCCTGGACGGCCCTTTTGAGAAGCTGAGCCCTATGAAAGGTCAGCTGGATCGGCCCTCCAGGGCTCCATTCTAGACAGGAGTCAGACAGTCACATAAGACTCCTCAGGCAGCTGCCGTCCAGTACAGTCAATGTGATGCCCTCCTGTCTCCTCTAGTTACAGATTCATCCTCTATTGCAGAGTGGACGACGCGCCCACCCGCCTATGGAAAAAGTGAGTGGGCACTGGATCAAGTGGGAGGGCCTCCCCTCTCCACACTGTAAGGGGAGTGTAGGGCCTGTGATCAGGGTGCTGGCAGGACCCGCCATCCCAACATCTTGTGATTCCTTCGGGCCGGCAGAGTTCTGATGGCTTCTCAAAGAAGAGAAGACAGCAGTCCAGGAGAGCACTGGAGGGGGCTGTGGGTGCTGTGGGAGCCCAGGGGGGAGTGGAGGAAGCTCCTACAGCACCCAGATGCATCCAATCCCCATCCCAGTCCCGCCTCCACTCTCCATCCTGGGACACAGAACAGGAGGTGTCTGAGCATCCTGCTCACTCATCTGGTAGAACCTCCACGGTGGGGGCTCCGCTGCCTCCCAGCGGGCCCACTCAGTGCTCAGGGACCAAATGACACCCTCCGTGTCAGCCCCTAGCAGGAGGGGAAGGTCACCCACATGGGACACCTAGTGAATCAGGCAGCACAGAGGCACAGGAGCTAAAGGCTGAGGTATTTGGAGGGCAGTGGGAAATAGGGGCAGGAGACAAAGGCCGTTGTTCCCGAATCAGTCAGATATTCACTGCGCCCTACTGTGTGCCAGTGCATGCAAGGACAGAGCAGATGGCCCCACGCCCATCCCACCGGGACTGGCATCCCAGTGGGATGTGCCAGGAGACACTCGAGGACTGTGTCAGGCTTCCCTGAGGAAAAGGAGGGGCCATCACTCCAGGGACCGAGAGCTCTCACTTCCCAAGGTGTTTTCCCAGCCTCTCCTTGGAGACGCGACCTGTTCTGCCAAACTGGCCAGGTCGCAGGCGCACGGAAAGTGGGACTGGCCCCTGCCCGGGCAGGAGAAGGAGACACTGGAGCCCAGACCCCCACGGAGGTACCCTAGGAGGGCAGTATGGAAGGAGAGGCCAGTTCTCTGATGCTGCTGCCCACCTGTCTCTCCTCAGGGCCTTGGCCTTCATTCTCCGCATGTGGATGGAATCCTATCCCCAGGACTTTTGCCAGCCCCCACACTTTCCCAGCTTGAGAAGGGTATTGGCCTTCCTTGCGTTCAGCATGCCAGGCTCGCAGGTGGAGCGTCAAGCTCGCCTTCTGCTTTCACAGTTGCTGCACCCTGAGCCCAGCGAGGCAGAGAGTCAGGGTGAGCAGGACACGGGCTGTGTGACACGGGCGTGTGTGGAGGCAATGTGGCTGGGCCACTCAGCACATAGCCTTCAGAGGCTGGGGTTAGGCTGGGAGCAAGGAGCTGGCTCCCATCACAATTCCCACGGACTCCAGATACGGGAGACCTTCTGGAGGGCGGTTCGTGTACTGAGTCTCCCTGATTGGTGAGCCATTTCCCTTCCGTGGGAGGAACATGGAAAGACAGTCACGTTTGCTTTCCCTGTGTGTGTTTGTCCGTGTGTGTGTGTGTGTGTCTGTGTGTGTGTGTGGCATGGTTACTTTGGGGTATCTTTTTCTTTTTCACCATTCACCCATGTTAATTCTTGATTGCAGTGACAGTAGTTTATAACCTTACATAAATTTCAAGTGTACGGCGTTATATACTTCGATTTCTATGTAGATTACAGCAGGTCCCCCACCCAAAGACTAATTACAATCCGTCACCCCACACATGTGCCTTGTCATGTGGATGTGGTTTTCTCTTCTTGGATCTGCAGCACCTGCTCCTGAGAAAGATCCCAACCCAGATGAATATCGACCCCCTGCTCCAACTCTAGTGCCCACCACACCTCAGAGCCACAGATCGACGTCCAGCACTGGAGCCGCCTCAAGCCTCAGCCCGGATGGCACTTCAAGTGATGGAAAGACCATTCACGTCCTCCCAGCAACGAGCCTCAGCCCCTGGACCGTGGCCCCACCGCTGATGTCCCCCCCTTCCCCTTTACCGCCAGTTCATTAAAGTTCTGTTTTGTCTTGCACATACTTCATGCTTTCCTTTAATTTCTCTTGTGATGTTCACTTCAACAGGATGTCATTCCTTGATCCTTTCCAAATGTCCATTTCCATGGCCAGGAGGACGCTCACAGTGTTTCCCGACCGTCATCCTGATCTCATTCAAGAACACTGTCGTGGGAGGGAAGGCCTCTCCCTGTTCTCCTCTCAGTCCTCCTCCCTCCCACCCCGTCCCTGGGGCCCGCTGAGCTTTCTGGCTCTATGGACTTACCTCTTCAGGGCTGTTCAGCTGAGCAGATGCATCCAAGATGTGGCATTTTGTGTGTGGCTACATAATATCTGAGGAGTATGATTAATCACTTTTTAAATTCAAGAAAACAGTTTTTATTAGGGAGAAAAATCCCTGCTCCATCAAAGCTTATGTATGAAAAATGAAGCCCCCATATTGAATATTCTCTTTATCTGGGGATAGGCACCACATTTAAAGGGTGACACGAGAGCTGGAAACCAAGAGGGGAATGTGTGAGGCCGAGAGACACATTTCACATCGTTTCCCTTCCTGGATGGGCCACGGATCAGGTTATGCAATGAGCAAATTACAAAATATGATTATCGCATATTACACGCTTAGATTGATTACAAATATCTTAAGGAATAAAATACCTTATCTACGTTTTTCAGAATTTGGATTGATGATTCTTTTCATTTAGTAAAATAATGTTTTAATGTGAGTAAGGAAAGAGGGTCCACTCCTCCAACTGGGAAATAACTGCCCACAACAAGTGCCATCCATCTTTTCACTATTCGCTCTACAGGGCAATGATCTGTGAGGACCCATGTACCTGCATGTGTATAGGTGTGTGTGTTAAGCAGTGTGAGTGGGTTTGGTGGGCAAGAGCCCAGGGCTTTCCTATCCTAGGACCTGATGTCCCACAGGGGAACAGGGACACTCAGTCCTGTCCCCTTGTGCCTTCTCAGTGGCCACACGTCACCTTCTACCAAGCAGCCCGGCTTTGAAGGATTGGGCCGTCTCCAATTGTTCACTCCATAATTGTACTGGAATGTGCATCTGCGTCCACACGTCTCTGTTTTTGTAGAACAGAGCCCTAGAAGCAGACGTTCTGCCAACAACTGATAACACCCATTTGGTGGGTTGGCTGCCATTTCTGATGTCTAGACTTGCTTCAGCAAGTTTGATCTTGTTTGGGAAAGCAGGGACTCCAGAGACATTGGAGGTGGCACCTGAAGGAGGAGGCTGACAAGACAGCGGTCAGGCCATCAGGGTCCCTGGGAGTTGCCCATGGTGCCAAGAATGGCCTGCCCACCCCCATCCCTCATGTTTCCTCCCCCACAGCATCTTCTGCCCTAAGTCCTGAAACACTCCTCAGCCAAGCCCCTTCCCATAACACACTCCAGGTTCAGACCCCCCTGGGCCAGCCCAGCACACATGCTCCACGATTCAGCTTCTGGGTAGAGCAGCCAGGCCCTGCTTCCTGGCCAGGGGAGACTGCAGGCCAGGCCACTCCTTTCTGCACCCATCTCCAACCTGTCTTGGTCCCCTTCTCAGGAAGAAACCTCTATGGGCAGGTGAGGGACACATCGACGTGACCTTGAAGGTGTCCATCCAGATAAAGCTTTCCGTTGCATCACCAACAAAACTTGACCTTGTGTGAACAAAGGAGACCTTTAGGAAGCAGAGCAGGGGCTGCTGGAGCTGCGGGCTGGGGAGAGCCTCCGTCAGGGCCTTTAGCCCTGGGCAGAGCCCGAGAAACACCCCTCAGCCTCCACCACCAAAAACGCCCTGCCCATGCCCCTACCACTGCCCACCCTGCGGTCCCTGACATTCAGTATGTGCAAGGGAGGGGACTCTGCTTCCTGCTAAACAATCCAAAGGAAGAGAAGTGGGGAGCCCTCCGCTCCTTCCAAGTCAGCTTATGCGGGGTCCACTTCCTCCAAGGCTGTGGGGCAGGTCAGGGGCAGCAATCTCTCTCTTCTCTGACACAGGATGGAGCCCCCGAGTCAGAGACCATAGGTCGTCACAGAGAGGAAACAGGGCCTTCCCTGGAGGGAGGGAGAGGAGCTCCCCTGGACAGGGAGCAGGGAGGACTGGAGAGCAGGGGGCCCTAAGCTGAAGGGCTGCCACAGGCTTGGGCAGCACCACAGTACTAGGGGCATGGGCTCATGGTTGGTTTGCCGGAAGTGTTCAAGATTCACTAAAAAACACAGCGGGACACCAGCTGGCCAGGGATGCCTAAGATGCTGTCTACTGATGACTGCACAAGTTCGGTCGGGTGGGCAGGTCTTGTGGACCCAAGGCAGCTCACTCTCTCTGCCTTAGATGGGAGAAGCCCCTTCACTGGGGGCCCAACATTTAGCCCCATGAGTAGATTATGCACTTAACAAATCTCCAGAGTGCAGATCTCAATGCTCATGGCAGTCAATGTCCACAGGCACTAGGACATGACCTGTGGGTCATGTCCATCCCAGGGCTCACCTGGGTCTGATGGGCTGAGCCCCAGTGCTGTGGGAGCCCAACCAAGGGACACGCCACCCTAACTAGAACATGAAAGAAAAGCTTCTGGGTGAACAATTGAGTTGGAGAGAGTCAGGCCTTCTAGGCAAAGGCAACAGTGGGGCAGAAGCAGGGCCCCAGGGCTGCAGTGGGCTTGCAGCCTGGCAACATCAGGTACAGCTGAGGATTAGTGAGTCCTTTCTGGGGTCTTTTCTGGACACGAATCATCTCCCTGAATCCCCACAACAATTCTAGGAGGCAGGTGGAAATACTCTTCATGTTTGACTGAAGAGGAAGCTGAGGCTTAATGAAAGTGTCTCTTTCTATGTCCCACAGAGGGACAGAGGCAGGATCTGAATCCAGAATTCATAAATCCCTGTGGGGCCCACCTGACAAAGAGACTGCATCCAGATGTTGCAGGAGGGACCTCGCACCTCTAAAGTTACATGAACCTTTGTCCCTGGTTCCCAGAGAGAAACCTGCTCCTGTCCAGGCACTGACTTCTCTGGGACTGGGAGTCACTTCTGGCCCACATGCCAAGCCCCTGTCATAGAGGGTGCAAGTGTCCCCTGAATACAGTGAGGTCTTGAGGCCTAGGGTTTGGGATCCAGAGGAATCCTAGATCCCTGAATTCCCTGCACGATCAGTGTGGATGGAGCAGAGTCCAAAGACAGAGAAACTGCTCTTCTAGTCCCTGCTGAGTTTCTTTCTACCTGGGTGACCCCAGGCAAGCCTCTGAGTATCAGCGACCCCATCTCTAAAACAGGGAAAGTAAATGGTGCTATTTAATGTGTTGGTGCCAGAAGCACTGTTAATGTGTTGGTGAAAGAATTACTTGAGAAATGTCTTGTGCAATTCTTGACTGGTGCCAGGAGTGCATGGAGAGCCAAATGGGAAGGCAGCCATGTTGGTGGCCATTTACCCAGTCTATCTGTTTTTTCTTTATTGATATTGGAGTTACCCTTAAAAAAAGACGCCAAATCCAAGGTCATTAATATTTGCTCCTACATTTTCTTCTATAACTTTTACAATCTTACTTCTTTAATTTATGTCCTTGGTCCATTTTCATCAATTTTTTATATTATTTTAGGTAAGCATCCACCTTTATTCAGTCATTCACAATTCTATGTGTCTGCGTGTGTAATGAAGGACATCTTCCATTGCTACTTGTAAGGAATTTTCATTAGATTCCAAAGAAATTAAAGTAGAGGGTGACATCAGCAACATGGCCGAGTAAGATGTTCCCTTTATCTATCCCACTTTGAACTACAACTAAATGGACATTCATTGACCAACCAAGGAGACCCACACAAAACAACAGGATGCCTGAGAGACCCAGAGAGCTACACATCTGAGGGAGGATTGATTGGCCCTCTGAGAAGCAGTGGAGACAGGTAAGCACTCCCTACCCTTCCCTGACAGTCCTGTGCACATGCATGAACACTTCCAAGCCTGGTGTGAGAGCTAATAGTACTGCTGCACCCCAAAAGAGGGAATGCGTCCCAGGGCGACTGTAGAAAGAGGCAGCAGCAGCCCTCAGCCCACTCGTGATAGCTTTCCCAGCAGTGGGGAGACCACCATACCCCTGCGGCCTCAAGGAGTGGCCCAGGCTTGGTCTGCACAAGGAAGACCCCCACCTGCCAAGTATAGTGGGCAGCAAGACTTCAAGAAGAGGTAATGGCTGATCTACATGCTGGGGTGAGCACATCCCTGGCCCAAGTGAGCACCCATAGTACCGCTGTAACCCAAAAGTCGGAATACATCCTGGAGCTATTGTAGGAGGAGGCAGTGACATCCCTTAGCCCAGTCACGATCACTTTCCCATGGTAAGGGAGTCAACCAGCCCCAGTGGCCCCAAGGAATGGCCCTGGTCAGGAAGCCCCACCCACCAAGCACAGTCTACACACACACTCACACACTCTCCAGGCCTGTACAAGC